AAATCGGTTGAGTTGGTATTGAAATTAGTGATGCCGTCGAGACTAGACGAGAATTATTTTGGAAAGATTATCACGGTCTAAAAAATCATCGAAAGTTTTGGAATCGTCGTAATCTCGAAAGACATTGGATCGGTGCATCTCGTCACGAACTTGGAAGAATCCATCATGTCTGAGTTTCAGTATTTTCTGTTTTTCAAATGTTTGTCTCGATATCTGTCTCGTCTCGTCTCGTGAACTTAAAAAAGCGAAAATCTCGAGATCCAGGCAAGATAAATTCTCCAGGAATTGTGACGGGATGCACCGATCCAATGTCTTTCGAGATAGAACGAGATGATCGCTTCAAAATATTTCTCGACTAGTTTCGAAAGCATCACTAATTGAAATTAATGAATGGAGAAATTTTGGATATTTTATTTGACACTGTTTAGCTGCACTGGAAACCTCAATTTAACCCTCAAGGGGGCGCATAGAATGAGAGAATCCCGCCGTTTTTTTATTTTTTTTTCACACAAAAACTTCGCGACTGAAAATTCCGTGAATATTTATATTTCTATTTTCATATGTATGGAACACATCAACATCTTTTTTTCGGTCCAGGCTTACACCAGTGAATTGTTAAAATCTTCCGAAAATTCGAGTCGCTGAAAATCCCCAGGTTTAACCTCAAAATTTCATAATTTTGCACTTTTTTCAAGAAATTGAGTTCTTGAATTATCTGACAATTATTTCATTCCCATAGCCCCATTTTCTATTCATTGAAAGTTCAAAACTTCCTGTGATCGCGGAATAAATTTTTTTTGTTCAACTTTTTATTTCTCGAAATCGTAAAATACATGGGGCGACCACTCAAGGGTTAATGATCTATAATTCAATTTATTCGGTCCAAGTCGATGTTGACTATTGGCCGGTTTTCAATTAATATCTCGAAATCAAAGGGAAATAGCAAAATTTTTGTTATGACCTTCTTTGCAGCCCTCAATTCGGTCTACAAAAACGGTCATTACGAAAATTTTGTTATCTCCCTTAGATTCAGAGACATTCCTCGAAACGTCAACTTAAATCGTTTTACCGCTTTTATAAAAATAGAAAATCGAGTTCACTCCACGATTATTTGACTTGCTCGGTAATTTTTCTCGATAAATTCCTGCAAATCACTGACATGTCCCTCCAAAAAAAACTGTTATTTTTCCTCTATATTGTTTTTCTGGTCCAAATGTAGAGCACCTATTTATCTGGATCACTCCCTCAAAAATCGCTGAATGATAAACCGACGATTTTCGTTAGAAAGTCGGAAGACATGCGTGACAGGTCGCGTGGACGGGCCATCGCATTGAATATTAAAACGCGGTAGCGTGTGCCCTGTCTTTTGAATTTCCGTTCCGTCTTACACACATCACATGTGCTTTTGTAGTCGAACCATAATTCACCGAGGTGTGGGTGAGCTCTTTATTTACGGTTTTCTCCCCCTTTACAACCGTCACCCACTGAACCGATCGCGTGTCCTCTCTGCATTTGGAATTGTAATGATGTTAGAGGTATTTAAGATTTTTAAGGATTAAATCGTTCAGATTTAAATCGCATTAATTTACATGAAACTTATGTTCTCGGATTTTATCTGGTGTTTGAACATGTGTAACAAGTCCATGTGCATTCGTAAAATTATTCAGAGCAAATATTTTGTCAACACTTTCCCGAAGTTTTTATACTCTTTTTAATTGAACAAAAACTGTCTTTCCGGAAAATTGAATTTTAATTTTAAAAAATACTTTATTATTGTAGAATGAAATAAACGACTTCAATCATCAAATTTGTCAATGAAATCGCGTGAGAAAAAATTGAAAATAAAAATCATTAAAATTACATTTTACACAGAATTATTATTTTTTAAACATTCGTTGTCGATATATTAATAATTGAAATTGTTTGAACTTTCGGAAACTTCATTTTTTAGGCGTGAAATCGATTCACGGAAAAATTCTGAATATGAATCAATTTATTACGATTCCAAACAAATGATTTTTATGGTGGAAAATTGATTGTTTATAAATTATTTAATTTCATTTTCAAAAATTGCATTTTTCAAATTATTCCATCAATCTTCCTCCCAACGTAAAGTTTCTAATTTGTTTTTTTCAGATTTTCAGAATATTTTCTAACGGTTTAATGTCAAGATTCAAATCATTGTAAAATGTCCGTAACTTAGGGTCAAATGGGGTTCAAATGAAAGCTCCGATTTTCAACTATGGAAGCAGAAAAGCATTTCCTTAAATTGAAATAAAACTTATCAACTTGAAGTAAATCATCAACTAATTATTAAACAACAATAATTTCTCTGAGAACCGCAAGAAAAAATAGTTTTCAACACTAGATCAATTAAAAAAATGTCAAAAATGTCGAAAAGTTGAGAAATTTCACCCACCAAATCCAGTCCGTTTCGCCCCAGCCCGCCTGTTCTCATTCTCCTCTACAATATCCATCTCTCCACAAAATTCCCCCACCACCACATGACTCCAAACTGTCAGAATAAAATGATAGATGCCCATCAGATCCCGCAGAAACCCGCGTCATTGAACCCCAAGCGATAAAAAAAAATGCCAATTCCGTTGCCTGAATGAGTTAGCAAATTAATTACAATCATCCCATCCGTCTCTCATTTTCACACATCTCGTGCTCCTCATTATTATGAAAATTTCAAACTGATGAGAATTGGTACGTAGGAAGTGGCCCCGACTATGAGCAACTCGTAGTTAATGCACAACTAGGGCTGGAAAAAACCGGATGCGCAGGTGAAGTTGTACCTCCAGGGGTAAACGCATTTCGTTATTAGCATAACCAATGGTTTTATGGGTAAGTTCTGAAGGGACACTGACAATGTGCGAGTGAGTCTGCACCATGTTTGTGCTGGTGTATCGAAAATTCAGAGGAATGAAGAATGGGGAGAGGGCATTGGGATGGAGTGGAGATCGGTAAACGAGTCACGCGTTTGTTCCACGAGGTTTTCTGTGGAAGCCGACTACTCGAGATACACTCGCATATCCACCTTCTCCCCCCCCCTGGCTTCTATAATGCTCCGTACGTGATCGCATTTTATTCCAAAATTTATAGCATCACAGCGAGGAGGGACAGTTTAAGATAAAAAAAATAATGGGAAACAACTTTTTACGAAACATCAAATACTTCGGAGATCATTTGATGAATAAAAAATGCGGGGTGAACGTTTATGAAATGTTATGTCGGGAATTTCTGAGAGACCATGAAAATTCAGAATTGTGGAGTGAAAAAAATTCCACTTTTTAAAAATCCACATGGAGAGGAATTTTTTAGAAAAATTTCAGTGCTAGCACGGGAAAAAAGAGGCGCAAAGTGACGGCCAGGAAAAATTTCCAGTGCCGGCACTAGAAATTTTATTGGGGAAAACGTGAATTTTTCCCCGTATTTCTGTGAAAATTTCACAGAAATCCTCTGAAATTTTACCAGAAATACCAAGAAATTTTACCTTAACAACACTAGAATTTTTCGGGAAAATTTCTCTCCGTGCAGCGCAACGACTTTTGAAGTCTTCAGTCCGCTTATCAAGTACTGTAATATGATGTCTATGGATTTTATTTTCTGTACTGTAATTCTTTTGTTTACAGTAATTGTAGAAAAAGAGAAATTCATTTCTTATGGTAATAAAAAAATCTCTGTATTGTAAAAATCCAAACTGACTTATGCACTGAGAAAAACAATTACTGTTGCCAAGTAAATTTACTAATTACACAAAAATCCACACATTTCAAATGCAAATATTTACATACATTTACATTTACTGGAATATGTGAATTTTCAATGACAAGATTTCCTGAAATATCAGTGGCACTTGAACACGATAAAAATTTCCGAAATTTGGCACGGAAAATTCCGGCGAATGGATCTGAGAAATCGAGATATCCCCTGACTAACGCGAAATAATCCCCGACTTGACATCGAAAAACATAATGAATAAATTTCCACGTTGAGGAATAAATAATCCCAACGGATTCATCAAACACCCGAGATCATCAATTTATAAAGCTACCCCAATCCCTCCCTAGACGCTGTGCACGTCCAATACGAGGGCTTATCCTCTTCTCTAATTTATGCATGTCGAATCAATCTAAAGCTTCTCTCTATTCCATTCTCTGGGCGCACTCACGTGCACCTGGATAACCGTTCTCCTACCCCGGTAACACTGAATGTAAAAAATGAGAGATAGAAAACTCAAATTGAGAGAGAGAGAGAGGGGGAGAAATGGAGGGAGACAGACCCACCGATAATGAGCTGCCGCGTTATCCCGTGCAAATATTTTTCTTCCGTGTTTGCATAGGTCCGGAGTATGAAATCATTCATTTATCTTCGCTGGGAGTATTCAGTAACGGAAGATGATGTTCATCAAGTGGAAATATGTCAATTAAATTTTTTATTTCTTTTAAACATTTGCTTCTTACAAATGATTTTTCAGAATTAGTGGGGGAAGAATTTAAACATTTTCTTGGAATTTTTCATTAAAATGTTTTACTGGAAGTTTTACTGGAATTATTTCGGTTTGAAATTTCAATTGAATTTATTCTCAAAATTTCATTTCAATTTTTGACATTTTCAGATATAATCCAGTGAAAATTAAAAAAAATTTTCAATTTCAAATGCAATCACACGGAATTATTGAATTTAGTCTCAAAATTTCATCTCGAATTCCCTAATTTTCACTAACGGAAAATCATGTTCATCAAGTGAAACTATGTTAATTAAATAATTAATTTTTTGAAACATCCTCTTCTCCTAAATAAATAACGTGAATTTTTAGAATTATCACAAACACTTCATTGAAATTTTTTTTATAAATTTTCCCTGGAGATATAAAAATTTTCAGTAGAATTGTTTCATTTTTTCCCGCTTCAAATGAAACACATCATTGAATTAATTCTTAAAAATTCATTTCGATTTTGCCAATTTTTTGAGTCAATCTCATTATTAAATTTCAGAAGACGCAGCCGTTCATCATCGGACTGTGAGTCAAATGTGGTATCCGCTGTTGATCAGAATTACGGTAGTGTAACAAGTCGCGAGGTAACAGTGCACGAGGACGAGGATCCTCAGCACCACGCAGTTCAGCATAATCAGGACGATACTGACGAGACACAGAAGCGGGTTGCGGCCGTGCAGGTGCAGGTGCAGGGTATGGAGGGCGATTGGAGGGCATACTGCGAGCATCCACTGTCGGTAGCAACCGCGGCGATGCTCAATCTCCAGCAGCAGCATCAAGTTACTGCTGTTGCTGGACATCCGGATGAACAGACTGTGCCTTATGTCTACGAGTACTATAAATTGCCGGACAAATCGGCTGATGTCAAGTTGCCGCCGTCGCATGAATTGTGGACTACGTAAGTATTTTCCAAAATTCATCGGATTAAGGGGTAAAATGAGGCTTAAATTCTGGTCAGGACAAGTTGAGGTCCTGATTTGGGCCAGAATGAGGCCCAAATTTAGACTGGCATAAGAGCCAAATTTGAACTAGACAAGAACCTAAATTTACTGTAAATTAAATTTGGAATTATAATTTAAGCCAGTGAGGCCCAAATTAGGATGGATTTACTTAAACCAAAATAGAGCCTCAATTTTGGATGAATTTTCATCGAATTTCAGTTGAGCTTGAGTGAGGCCCAATTTAAACCAAGCCAGGGTTTGAATTTAACTTAGAATAGGGCCAAGACTTAGAATTAAGTCAGATTGAGTTCTAAATTAAGGCAAACGTGAGGCCCAAATTTAGGCTGTACTAGGGATTGGATTCGGAGTAGGCTAAGGCCCAAATTTAAGACGAAGTTTCATCTTATTTCAATTGGGCTTGTGTGAGGCCCAAATTTAAGTCAAGGCAGTGCCTGAATTTAAGAGACTAAATTAAGGTCTTAAAATAAGTCAGATTGAGACTTAATCTAAATAAGGACTGTAATCTAAATAAGACTAAGGCCCAAATTTAGGCTTTACTAAGATTCACATTCGTATTAGACCAGCATTAAAATTTTGGCTGATGTGGAGCTGAAATTCAGGCTAGGCCAAATTCAGACTGGACTATTTCTTCATTTAGATTAGACTAAGGCCCAAGTTTAGGATAGACTTGGCTCTTCATTCGGACTGGGCTTAAACCCACACTTGGATCAAACGGCGACGGTATTCGGGCTAGACTTAACTCTGAAGCTAACCTGAGCCCCAAAAACAGGTGAAACCAGGGGGTGAATTCCGGGCCCTAAAGCCCAAATCTAGGCTAAATTTAGTCCTACAATTTTCCTCATCGTAACCTTCAAAATCCTATATTGTGAATCCGTCAAAATATAAGTTTCCAGTAATTTATCTGACCTCCTAATGCCCAATTTTCCGGTCCATTGATTCGGTTTGCAAACTCCCGTAACTATTTGCGTGCGCCTCGCCCCAAAAAACGGACAAAAAAAATCGTCGCACCCCAATTCCTTCGCCTAGAACTCCCGGGCATTATTATATATTTTGGGCTCGAATGGTACATAGAGCATCCGCTCATGCCATCGTCTCAGGATACCCCCTGTTTGTCCCGCATACAACATCCTGAGGCACATTTGATTTATATCGGACGTTTAGCATATTTTCTAATTTACTGTTGAGAATCCTCAACGGTAACGAATACCCAGAGCTCCCTCCTTCATCTCACACAATCCAAAACTACAAATGTTACCTTTTTTTCATTTAACATGGATGCCTTTACGGCTAATGCGTGCGCTACAATTGCACACACTTTCGCAATAACAAAACGCACTTTAGTAACGTCTCTTTGGCGTGATTCACGGTGGTATTTTCCTAATCTTCATTTCTCATCTAACGCAACACATACACCATTATAGTTACTTCTGTCCTCTACCTCGAGTCTTTCTCTCACCCCCCTTTTTTTACCGATAATATCTCGACGATTTGTACGGGGCAAGATCGTTAAAGCTCAACCATAGTTTTGTATCTCTTCGAGATGCAACCCTGAATAATGAAATAAGAGGAATTGAAATGAGGAGATCAACATCTGCGCACTCGGGTGTGCAATGATTTTAATCCAATTTCATTGTCGCCTGGGAGGATGAGATGGCGTGTTTACAGAATTGAAATTTAAGGTGAGGAAAAAATGATACGTGTGAAGTGAATGTGATCAGTCGAATTTCTTTTAATTTCGTTGAGATTTTTGTTGAAACATTGCCGTTTGCATCGGGGCTAAGTGCGATTTGAATGGGCCAGGTCTCATTTTCAAGCTTGGAAAAATACCTTTGAATTGAAAAAAAAATCGGGGAATTTCACTCTGCGGTTTTTTAGTTACTGAAAATTGAAAAAGAGACGTTGAACGATTTTTTTTATTCTAAAGATATTTTTTCCCGGTTCAAAGGCCATCAACACTACGTCGAAGTAGCGCTGGTAATTCAAAAAAACTCTAGGCGGTAACGTTTTTGCAGAAAAATTGGGCGAAAACCGGCCCCGAAGACTAGTTCTCAACCCACATTCATTATTACTATTCCATTCGGTCTTTTTGAAATTCATAATCTCAATTCTGCAAAAAGAAACGAGTAAAAATGCGTGATACGTTTTTTAAAGCAACTGGAAAACAGTTTGAAGAATTGAGATATAAAAAAATATATTGTCTGGACAGGGGACGTGTGTGGGTATATCACAAGAACGCGTGGTTAGATCAGTCTAGACGCGGCCTACGTATTCGGCAGGGAGTGTTGGAGGGGGTGAGGGAGGGTTTGGAAAAAGCCAGGATTGCATTCCTACCTGCGTATGACGAAATAGTCCAACGAATGGATAATTTCTTCCGCAAAGCCCACGAAGTGAACTGGTTTCACGTAAATGCGTCGACTCCGTGTATTTTTGGGAAACGACGATCGTTCAAAAGATAAGGCCCAAATTGAGACTAGAGTGGGACCTAAATTTGGATTAGGTTTTGATGTTAATTTAGGATAGTGTGAGGCCCAAATTTAGGATGGGATTATTCAACAAAAGCTAAGGCCCAAATTTAGGCTGGAATAGGACCTAAAGTTAACATGGATTAGGGCCTGAATTTGGATTAGGCTAAGGCCCTAATTTAGACTGAACTGAGAACTAAATTTAGGTTATATGAAAATCCGAATTTAAGTCAGACCCAATTTTGGCCATGCTAGGACCTGAATTAAGATGTGATGAAGACCGTAATGTAGGCTAGAATAGGATCTAAATTACGTTAAATTGGGGTCTAAATTTAACCAAAAGTTGAGCCCAACTAATTTGAGATAAGACTAAGGCCCGGATTTAAGCTGGACGAGAGCCTCAATTTTAGTCAAACTAAAATCCGAGATTTACGTTAAACGGCAAAAAAGCTAGGGCCCAAATTTAGGCTGAAATAGGACCTACATTTAGACCGGATTGGAGCCTGAATTTGGATTAGATTACGGCCTCAATTTAGACTGAACTGAGGATGGAATTTAGATTAGACTAAGATCCAAATTAAAGTCAGGCCCAAATTTACGCTAGGTTAGGACCTAAACTGAGATAAGTCCTGGGCCCAACTTTAAGCTAGATGACAGCCTTAATTTGAGTCAGACTAAAATCCCATGATTCCCACGCGGGGACCGTAAACGCTAAAAAAGGTAAGGCCCAAATTCAGGCTAATTTAGGGCCTTAGTCTAATCTAAATTTGGGCCCTAATTTAAACCAAATCAAGTCCCAAATTTAGGTCAGACTGAGCTCCAAGATTTCACGTAAACACGTCGACTCGGCGCATTTTTGGGAAACGATAATCATAAAAAAGAAATGAACGGGGTTGAATATGTGAAACATTAAATTGGTCATGATTTATACAAGTCTCGTTTACCCGTGCTTTATCGCAACGCCGAGATCAGCCGAGTTCAGCGATAACCCCGGTACGCGACGCGTAGAAATTACAGTACGCGGGAGCACGCGTTCAACTGCTCTCGTGCCCTCGTGGGGTCTTGATGCCGAGATGTCAAACGCCATAAAACGAAACTGGCTTCAAGAATGACAAAATGTATTGTAGGAAAAATAAAAAGAAGGTGAAGACGGATGAGGGAAGGACGAAACGGACGTATGAGGGTTATGCCCGACACGTATGGAGACATCGGCCTGACCACACGTTTTCTCGTTTATTGTTATTTATGGGGAAGGGGGGGGGGGCGACGATATGAGAGGCTTTATTCTTTTTGGGCTTTACCGGAATTTTCGACCCGTTCGCTTGGGTAATTAATCATTCTGACTTCTTCATATATATATATATTTTTTTTTTTTTGAGAAGTTGGTGAGGTCAAGGAATCTACAGAGCGGAAGGGGGTGGGGGGCAGGAAAATTGTTTATTTTTACATGTAAAATATCTGTGAATGATAAGAAATGATTTGATGACTCTTCTTGTGACTCCGGAGGAAGTGATGTAGTAAATAAATGACGTCTTGCGGAGCAGAAAGTCAAACTTTTGATCATATCTTAGGACACTGTTCTAAATACGCCCACACGGAGAGAAATATTCAATAAAAATCACGTATCTTTTCCCCAATTCCGGAGCGAAATGTGGTTGTAGGTAATTTTACGGAACTGTCACGGAATTTTTCCAGAGCGTTCCGTAATTTTTATCTGAATCTCCTGTGACAAATTATGATAGCGTCACTTGAATTTTCTGAGTCGATCCCGTAATCGGTGAGCGAATTGTGAGTTCCGTAATTTTTACTGAACATTTCTCTCCGTGCAAAGATCTGAACTTCTAGTTAGACTCAGTAATTCAAACTGCACTGGGCCCTTTACCACAAAAAAATTGATCGCAGAAGCAATCGGCCGCAAATATTTGTAGGAGATACATCATAATTATGTGATGTACGTATGTTTATAGAATTATATAAATATAATATGATGTATCATATTATATAATTATGCTACAGTTTGGTACAGACCATGCTATCGATTCAACCATTTCCAATCCTCAAATTTGTCAATTAAATTATGTGAAAAAATTGGAAAAAAATCACGAATATTCAGCGCCATTGAAATTATATATTTTGCACAGAATTATTATTTTCTTAAACGTTCGTTGTTTATAAATAAATAATTGAAATTGTTTAAACTATCAGAAATCTCATTTTTTAGGCATGACATTGATTTCTGGTGAAATCCACAATATGAATAAATTTGTTACGATTGATTGTCAATCTCGAGGTTCAATATCGCGATTCAAATTCACACCGGCAAAGTTTAAATGTAAAAATCATTGTAAAATGTCCGGAAACTCAGGGTGAAATGGGGTTCAAATAAAAAGCAATAAAAGAAAATAGACTCGTCGAGAAAAATTATTATCACTGAAAAAATCAGTGTACAAATAAATAACTCCATAATCATAAAAAAGCACATCTCCGAAGCAATGTCGGGATTAATTCAACTTCAACAGTATTTTTCACCTCACGATGAACCCACACAATCTCCCCTGCTCCCGCACCTAATCTAAAACAGTAGGAGGTCGAAACAAGAGCGGAGAGTTGACGACGTGAGATGTTGACACGTCAACTCGTTTTCCCATTAACCACCCGCTCTGACCTTTCCCAAAAGAAACTGAAGAAAAAATAAACCGGCCAACGACACCAGCCACACAGCGCAGGGTGTCAGGGTTGAATCAGCGCACGTGTGACTCTCTGAATGAGGAAATAAAGAGTGAAAAAGGACAATGAAGAGAGAAAAAATTGTGGAAGCGAATGGGTGTCATTACCGGTGCTTGAACCAGGTACGACTCGTATTTCGAGTTTTCGCGGGAATAATGAAAAATACCGAGGTACATTCGTCACGCGTGCTTATGTTACGAGTGTAAATTCGTGTGAATCCCTTGATATTTCCACTTTGTCCCGACATGTTGGAGAAAAATTCCTGCTCACCCAGTCAATTCTTCATGAGATTTCCGGTTGTTGCAACGGGAATTCCAGAAACCCGCAGAAGCAGGGGGATTTTGTATATTGACAGGCCGGACGACCTCGGCGTGACCCCAACAGGTGAAAAAAATCCAGCAAAAAAAAACATGATCTGAAAAATACGATGGGATGAGTGGGGAAACAGAGGGGGTCATTATCAATGTTGTCCTCAAGTTGGGATCCCTAGCTGCAGCCGGACTAGACACTTTGGATTTATGGAATATATTTAGCGGAATATCCCGTGATTTATCGGATATTCCAGCGCGACCGATGACCCCTCCTCTCTTACTAAGTCGTTGACAATTTTTTTTCCTACTTAATTCGATGTTTTTTTTTAATGGCGTAACTTATGGATTCCGACGGGGGGTCCTAAATGAGGCAAATGGGGGTTTTACTCGCTACGCTTGCAGGTATTCTTAATTGGTGATGAGGATGATTGAGGGGATATCGACGGCATCGAGAAAAAATTTCTAATTTTCTAGTCTTTGATTTAGATATTAGAGATGGCTCGGGAAGGCGACGAGATTGCATGGTATTGGTGTCATTGGAAAGCCAGAGAAATTTTGTGCTAGGTTGGAAAATCAAGAACCGTTTCGCCCCTGTACTTTCTGGGGAATTTCGGAATTTTTTTTTCGGTGAAAATCTTTTTGACTATATTTTTTCAAAATGTAAGCTACTGGGGCAAAACGCCTCTCCCCATCTTTCCAATGACACAACTCACGACTTGAAATCATACTTTTTCGAAAAGTAGAATTCAACTACTGGGACAAAATGGGTCGACTTTTCTCAGATTTCGCTTGGAATTTCCGCACTTCTCCAATGACACAACTTCCAAACTTTAATCTTATCAACTTCCTAAAAATATCATCTCCTTATCGAAATCATACTTCTTCCAAAAGCAGAATTCGCCAGCTAAATCTGACAGAACTTCCGCGATGGTATTTCAGGAGCTACTGGGGCAAAACGGATAGTCTTTTCCTCGATTTCGGTTGCAATTCCCCCACCTCTCCAATGACACAACTTCCAAACTTTAATCTTATCAACTTCCTAAAAATATCCTCTCCTTATCGAAATCATACTTCTTCCAAAAGCAGAATTCGCCAGCTAAATCTGACAGAACTTCCGCGATGGTATTTCAGGAGCTACTGGGGCAAAACGGATAGTCTTTTCCTCGATTTCGGTTGCAATTCCCCCACCTCTCCAATGACACAACTTCCAAACTTTAATCTTATCAACTTCCTAAAAATATCATCTCCTTATCGAAATCATACTTCTTCCAAAAGCAGAATTCGCCAGCTAAATCTGACAGAACTTCCGCGATGGTATTTCAGGAGCTACTGGGGCAAAACGGATAGTCTTTTCCTCGATTTCGGTTGCAATTCCCCCACCTCTCCAATGACACAACTTCCAAACTTTAATCTTATCAACTTCCTAAAAATATCATCTCCTTATCGAAATCATACTTCTTCCAAAAGCAGAATTCGCCAGCTAAATCTGACAGAACTTCCGCGATGGTATTTCAGGAGCTACTGGGGCAAAACGGATCGACTTTTTTTAGATTTCGGTTGGAATTTCCCAACCTCTCCAATGACACAACTTGCAACCTTCAATCTCATCAACTTCCTAAAAATATCAACTCCTTATCGAAATCATACTTTTTCGAAAAGTAAAACCTCCTCGCCTGTATTCCAGGGACGACTGTAGCGAAACGAGTAGTCTTCTTATCAATTCAAGACACCACTTGGAAGCTTCCCTATCATCAACCCCAGAAGAATCTCCGTTCACAATCGAATTCATACTTTCCCCAAAAGTCAAATTGCCCAGCGAAATCTCCTCACAGCCATTAAAAAAATTCCCCGCGAAAACGTACATCTCATAATTCCATTCTGCAGAGAAAAAAAAATGAAGAAAAAGACCAACTCCTTTTCGGTGTCTCTCGACGGCCCTCGGATTAGCATCGCATTACCTCTCCGCGAGGATCGAAGCACTCTGGGGATCCATTTCACATAAGCCGAATTCATAGTCCCTCATGTATATATTTTCGTTGGGCATAGCCGCGGGTTATGACATTCCTTTCTCACTCCAACTCGTCCGAAAAATTTCCAATTCCCCTTTATCCACCCGTTTACTTATTTATCTCGCTCCTAGTCGTTATTCCACGTTCGCAAGGATCCCTTTGCATTAGACTTACCGGCACATCCTCGACTAGATAAAAACAAAGATGGAGGGAGTCGAAGCGAGACGAAAGGGAGCAAGAAGGGGCGAGAGATAGTTCCCCTCCGGAGGGTAGAGATCAGGTATCAAAAGAGAATGTAAAAAAAAGGGCCATTGTATCGAAGCATCTGACCGTAGGTACAAGGGAGCCGGTGCTCTTGCACGTACCTGTGGTGCATGAGACTGAAAAAAAAAATTATGGAAAGGAAGAGAAAAAATGGCGAGCGAGGGGGGGATATTGGGTGGTAAAGTTGACGAGAAAGAGTGGAATTCATTCCCTCGAAGGGGTCCTTGAAGTGCAAAGGATATCACGTCCATACCTTGAGAAGCGTTGGCAGTTTATAAGGGTAGACGTCATTGTCAAATCCTGTATTATAATGCTAAATATAACATGTTAACTACTTGATACAAAGGAAAACAGTAGACTCGCATTTCATCGAATGTTAATGTTTTTTAATGCTGAAATTTTAACCATTTTGACAAAGGGGTGTAATGGGCCAGAAGCTGCTGGTACAAGAGAGCCCATCAAATCGTATTGAAAATACCGGAGGTGAGACAACAGGTAGTGGTGAGCTTCATCACTTCCTGCATCAGTACAATCAGCAATCACCGAGCCCAAATCAGAGTCTTCAGGGTAATGGTGGCAGTCTACCGCTTCCTCTGAGTCCCCAATCGTTGCGTCATGATGGTAATACAACATCGAGTGGTTTGACTGGGGTCAAGAGGGAGCCGGAAGATCTTAGCTCGTCTCGTACAGGTCAGCAATCCAGTAAACGGCACAAACAGGCACAACCGGATAGTCCAACGCCACCCGGAATGTATCATCATCATCAACTTCAGGTATTTGAGCTTGTCATTTCTAATTGGATTTTGCCTCATGTTAATCATAGCGCGGCCTAAATCGGCACATTTTTCTCTCCATCAGGTCCAGCAATACGGAAGTCCCTATGATCCATACTCATCCTGCAGCCCTCGTCTTCAGTCAACGACGTACGGTACTTCAACATCGGCGAGTGGTAATGCCAGTGCACAGGGGAGTCTTCATCAGGAAGGGACAGCTGTCTACGTCACGGGAGATGCACTACCACCACTTGCATCGTCGAGTTCCTCAGCTTTGCCCACGACAACGTCCTCGTACACTAGGTACGAGGTTGTTCCAAGCTCTTACGCTACGACGCACGCGATAAGATCGTCGTCTAGCAGCAGCAAAGTCCTCACTGTTGATCTACCGAGTCCGGATTCCGGAATCGGGGCTGATGCTGTCACACCGAGACAGGATCATCATCCACCAACGGCGCTACATCAGGTATTCCACATGAGTTGTCGAGCTGTCTTCTGTCGTCTTTCATTTGTAAGTTGTCGGCAGTTGACGGATGATTTCTTTTTGCTTGCAGTCATCCTTCGACTACACGGAGTTGTGCCCTGGTGGCACCACCAGCAGCACAACTGTTGTTCTCGAGAGTGGTGCTGTTATTCATCATCCACCTCTTCAACTTCAGCTTCAACAGGGACACACGCAGAATCAAGTACCACGTAGTCTTGTTGGGGCTGGCACGCCTAATCCGAGTGCAACACCAACACCACCTAGATCCCGTCCATGGCATGATTTTGGGAGGCAAAATGATGCTGACAAAATTCAAATACCAAAAATGTAAGATTACGACGTACGTCGTCAAATTTATCATTTACTTGGCATGTCTCCTTTTTCATAAATGTGTTTTGAACACTATTGAACTGTAGCTTATAAACAATACATTTGACTTTATGAGCAGCTCGACGTCCAATCCGAAGCCTAAAAAAGCCGATGTCGGAGATTGTCTCACGACAAACGTTTCGAAAGAAAAAATTATTGAAAAATATTGATAATTGATTTTTTGAAGAAAAATCTTTAAATTAGCAAGTTTGTGTTTAAATAACTCGAAGAACATGAAAACTTCCTTCCAAAAATCATTGACAAAATGACGAATATTTCTCCGTCAAATTTATCAATAATTTGTCACCAGTTATGACCAATAAATGAAGTGTTGGCGTGAGTTAATGTACACAAGTATGGAATACTTGAGGAATTGATATGAAAATTAAGTGACGCGTGTTGCGTACAGTCGAAATGTCATGGGTCGACATATATCATCGTCGAACAGTCCGTTATATTGGCATATACAACGGCAAATAGCAGATTATTAAGTGTCCACACTGTACGACTGGGAGGAAGGTAAAAATAATCTGTGGGAAATGACTGGACAGGGTATTCAACTTACTAATGTCGTTGGGGTATGGGGCGAGTCTTATCGTACCATGGGTTACAACTTATCGGTATCATTCAGTTTACCGGCTCAACACCCATTAATATTTTTCAACGCAATATTGCGGAGAATATAACATGGAAGTCACGAGACAGTCCCGGTTTTACCGATATATAGGGTTTTTTTGAAAAAAAGAAGGTCTCAGATAGTTTAACTAGACGCCGACATAGGTAGTACGCTTCAGCGGCTTTCTGATACTGGGTACCACTTCCTATTGATAAGGACGGGACAATTTTACTTGGTGAACTCTACGCTCTGTCGATGGAAATTTTGGATCTAGAAAAAATTAGGGTTCTGTGTGTGTGTGTTTTTTTTAATGAATTGGAATCAGCTTCGAGGGGTTCTTTTTATGGGATTATGTGTTTGTAATCGTCTTAAGTATTCATTTTGAATGAGTTACGAAGGATTAGTGGCTAGTGAAAGCACCACTTGCTTCCGTTAGATGAAGCCAACTAAGAGGATGGGGAAAAATGGGTTATTTAGGGTAATATGATAGCCGAGGTGGTTTAAGGGTTAATGAAGACCTGTGAAATACCTCAAAATTTATTCAATTTCACTTGGCCAATCTCGAGTTGTTGAGAAAAGCAAATTTTCTTAAAAAGCAAGGTCTCATCGTCAAAGGATAGGGCAAAATGGGACGATTAGAATAATATGACATTCAAGATGTTGTTAGGGTTGATGGAGAGCTTCAAATTGTCTCAAGATTTTTTCATTTTCGCTCAGCCAATCCCAAGTTATGAATAGAAAGCCAATTTTGCAAAAAGCAAGGTTTCATCTTCAAAAAAGCAATTACGAATTAAGTGGATGGGGCAAAATGGGAGGGTCAGAATAACATGACTTTCAAGAGGTTGTAAGGGTTGATGGAGAGCTTCAAATTGTCTCAAGATTTTTTCAATTCCACTCAGCCAGTCCCAAGTTATTGATGAAAAAATAATTTTGAGAAAAGCAAGTTTTCGTCCAAAAAAATGAAATCTAGAACGTAATGAACGGGGCGGAAAACTTATTTCAATTTTAAAATCATTTTCGTTCTAGAAGCAATATTGTAACAGTTGCTTTTCCAACAGATACTCAGCGTATGGATTTAAATATCATTTGGAATCACCCATCAGCACATCACAACGAAGAGAGGACGACAGAATAACGTATATAAATAAAGGTCAATTTTATGGAATAACGTTGGATTATGTACCAGACCCGGATAAACCTCTACTCAAGGCCGGTCAGACTGTAAAGGTAAGAATTATAGTTTTATTACATTTGAAGAATTATCGTTAATAATGGATTTTTTGTTAGCGAAAGAAACTCACGTTTTCCATTCATTATGATTTAACTCATTGCGCCCCTCATTGATAAGACCGGTCAATAAACTTTCGATAATAGATGTCGGTAATGAGAACGTGTTTATAAAGTCGCAATGAAGGGAGAAATCGTCATTATTTTTTTGGCTGCACGTCGATAAGTTTCATCTTTCGTAAAAATTTGAGGTAGAGATGCTGATTCTTTTCACCTTTTGAGAAATCATGGAATTTTTACGCATTCATTCGAATTGATTACACGTCCTTTTGATAAGACCGATCTACTTTATACACACGAACTGATAGACATCACGAACATGAGGCTGATATGACTTTTATTACGTGTATGAAAACCAGTCAGAAGTCATTTCCTCATCTTGATTAGCAATCATATACTTTTGATACACTTCAAATATCAGTTATGCATTTGCGGATAGAAAATTTAACACGCGACAAAAACTCAAATAGTCAATCTACGCCCGAGTCTGGGTGAGGAATGGAGTGAAATGGTCATTGGGCCATAACTATTTTACAAATCACTGGGGAAAATGATAAGCGCGATCAATCTATATATAAATCGAGCGTTCATTCACCCGAAACACTAAAAATTGTCGTGGGCAGGCGTGCTGTATAGCTTCGTAGGATTTGCGTTAATGTTGACCATATTTATCTGATTATGTTATTTCACGGATTTATTGCCGGGTTTGAAACGTGTTATTTGGCTGACATCGGTTCATTTTTTATGTTTTAGTTATGCGACAAATTTCGTTTGACTTCATTAAAGTATTTTAATAGGATCTCGTGACGTTTAATTTGAACGTTGGGCGTTGAATAGTTTTTGAGACATTCTTCTTTCGAAATTGGGATATTTCCTGAATTTTTTCAAAAGTAATAATACTATCCAAATTGTTTTTTTTCGTATTATAATAGAAAAATAACTGGAAAATTATAATTTCAGAAAGCGTAGATGACTTCATTGTCTCCTTCCTGCGAAAATTTCTGTTGATTTTTATTAAATAAACTAAATTGTAAAATTGTGGAATTGAAGAACGAATTAACCGAGTTTTCGAAGAATACCTGCGAATCTAAGGGAGATATCAAAATTTTCATAATAACCTTTTTTGTAGAGTGAATTGATAGCTACAAAAAAGGTAGTAACAAAAATTTTGCTATTTCCCTTAGATTCCGAGATATTCATTGAAAACTGGCGAATGGTCAAAATCGACTTGAACCGATTTCCCCCTTCGCTACTGAATTGCTTTAAAAATCGTCAACGATTACTCAAGAAATAGTTGTTGAATTCGCTTCACTCACAGCTCAATGACTCCTTATCCTTGAACATCCGTAGTTTTTTAAGAAAAATCCGGATAAAACAGATTGCCATCACCACTAAATCCCTAAAAATCGTAAAAATCATGAGTTGCACGTGCATGCATACGATATCAAGACAATTTCTTCATCCTCCTTTCAATTTTCAGAGTGTGGTAATGCTCATGTTTCGCGAGGAGAAGAGCCCCGAGGACGAGATAAAAGCCTGGCAATTCTGGCACGGCAGACAGCACTCAGTGAAGCAACGAATTCTCGATGCAGGTGAGTCATTCCTCCTTTTATTACCCATTAAAAATTAATATCACTTAATGATATCCATTGAATCGAGAGAAAAACAACAATCTTATATTCAAACGTTGAAGAAAAAGTTGCAAAAGAAATATTTATATCGTTTGCGCAAGCTGTCGGATATTCATTTAGCCAACGACAGGATATATCTGTGGTAAGCCTCACTGTAACACATGGCAGTTTAATTTGCATATGTTTACTCATTTTTTTGTCTGTTGCACGGCCTGTTGAGTAGTGAGACAATCTTGAGATAATTTCTCATTTTTCGGTGTCATTTCTAGATACGAAAAACAGCGTTGGACTGGTTGGGTGCATCGAGGAAGTGGCTCACAATGCCATTGCCGTTTATTGGAATCCGTTGGAATCATCTGCCAAGGTGAATACCTATTGCCAGAGATATTTTAGTGAAATTAATCTTAAACAATTCATCATTTCAAAAAATAGGGGGAAATTTGAAAGAACAAAGATCTATTTGGCCCCAATATTGCCTGTGATACCTCAAAAGTGGATGGCAAACAGAAAATGTGGCCTTTTCCATGAAGTCAACATTAATTAATGACTCAATTTGTTTTGCAGATTAATGTAGCTGTACAGTGTCTGAGTACTGATTTCTCAAGTCAAAAGGGAGTTAAAGGATTGCCATTGCACATTCAAGTTGATACTTATGAAGAACCACCATCGCCACACAGCCATGGGTATACGCCACCTTCACACAGGGGTTACTGTCAGATTAAAGTCTTCTGCGATAAGGTAAAATCATTGATTAATTCAGATGAAAAATTTGGTCGGAGAAAAAAATTGGGAAAAGGTTACCAAAATTACCATTTGTTCCATGAAAAACTATCCCATGAACTTTAATGATTGCTCAAGACAGCGTAATCATTCACGTGGGTGGAAATTTTTCTGACATAGAATGGCTTTTTTTCGATTTTGACTAGGGGTCAATTTACAATTTCGCTCCACGAAAAAATGAAAATGACCAGTGATTTTTCATTCGTAAAATTTTCATCCAATTTTTCTCTCCGTGTGCAAGACTCGTTCGGTGTTGATTTTGGAAATGAATTTTGTTCTGATAATTCAGGGTGCTGAGCGAAAAACAAGGGACGAGGAGAGAAGAGCGGCCAAAAGAAAGATGACGGCAACCGGAAGGAAGAAACTAGATGAACTGTATCACTCAGTGACTGAACGAAGTGAATTCTACACTATGGCGGATTTGCATAAGCCCCCCGTACTATTTTCACCGCCTGCTGAGCATTCAATTGATAAGGTACATAATCATAAAGCCATTAATCCTTTCAATCAAATGAAATCGTTGAGCGAGTGGTTGGGTGGAGGCTTTGTAATATAACTGGAAAATGCTGGGTGAGGAGTGGTATGAATTTTAAAGACATGAGGCATTAGAAAGTGAGAGGAACTGACTGGGAAATTTAGCGGTTGGGAGGTGTCGCTGGTGATAATAATTCAGACAGAGAATTTATTAATTTCTAGTTCGATGTGATTAATATCTTGCTGCTGCAGTAAATTGCGAAGATGTTGGTCGTAATGAAAATTATCTGCTTGCCATATTTGATGGCATTGAAGTGAAAATTTCTGTTGGTGAAGGCAGCACTTGCTTTGGTTAGACAATCGTAATTAAGAGGATGGGGTTAAATGGGTTGTCCGGAATAAAATAATAGTCAAGATGTTGTAAGGGTTGATAACGAGCTTCAAATTGTCTCAGAATTTATTCAATTTCACTCAGTCAATCCAAAGTTATTGATAGAAAGAGAATTCTGCGGAAAGCAAGTCTTCAAAAATTGAGATCACGAACTAAGTACGTGAGGCAAAACGGGTTGTCCGGAATAAAATGATATTTAAGATATTGTAAAGGTTGATGATGAGCTTCAATTTGTCTCAGAATTTTTTTAATTTCACTCAACCAATCCAAAGTTATTGATAAAATGAGAGTTTGCGAAAAACAAGATTTCATCCACAAAAATTTAGTCATATTTAATATGAACAGATAGAGCAAAAAAAAACAATTGCATTTGTCATATTCGATGACACTGAATTCACCATTAGCCATAAATACTTCAACCAATGAATGCATCATGATAATAAATTTCCCTCCGCAGTTTTCAACAATGGAACTATCTGGTTTTTACGGCGGTGGAAATGGAGGTGGTGACACAGACACCTCATCCCTATCCAACGGCGAAGGTGGTGGAATAAAAACAGGGGCCAGCAGTCCCTACCCCGGCTGCGGTCGACCAAGTCTTCCAGCGCTCAAATTTCACAACCACTTTCCCCCGGACAATCTGACAACCCTTCACGACAAGAAAGACTCCCTCCTGATGCAGGTGCAGGAGCTCCAGGGGACAGTTCTTCAGAGTGTCCCCCAGGGTGCCTTAACAGCTGGTGCCCTTGTGTCGGGGGTAGGCAATCGCCTACACCTCCAGCATCAACAGCCAACAAATCACCTCCGCACGTCAGACGGCGAAGATCGCGTTATGCTGTACGTCAGACAGGAGTCCGAAGACGTATATACACCCCTCCACGTGGCACCACCGACAGTTCAGGGACTGCTCAACGCTGTAAGCATCACCCAAGACTCAACTCGCCTCTACTATCAAATCTAGATAATTAAGCAACGGAGAAAAGTGGATTTGTCTCTGATAATTATAACCGATGAATGAAAATTTATTAAAATGAAAGTGCAAAATCACCTGGTGTTTATTTTTTACTCGAAAATAATGCGAAAAAATAAAAATAAAAATTCAATTTTCTCTTGTTGTCGTAACGGTAAGTTACCCCGTTGCCATTTGAGACGAGGAAAAAAGCACTAATCGATGAATATTAAATGTTAATGCTTGTATAATCGGATAGTGAAAAGTTGTTAAAGTGAAACTGGAATTTTTATGATATTTTTTGCCACATGCACTGTTAGAAAAAAAAGATGCAACTTTAATTTGAATTGAATTCCAACATTTACCGGAATTCTTCTGATTTCTATCAATTTTCAGGGAATAATTGAACTGAAATTCACAGTTTCCTTTGGTTTTCCCGAAAGTTTGGAATTTTCAGTGATGAAATTCGTTGAAATTTCAGGGAAACTAAAATGTCACACACCCTTTTTTCATATCACTACATTGTATAGTAAATTGTACAGAAAGTCCACCCAATTCACCACATTTATTGATATCAGTATTAATTCAGTCCGAGTTACTTATCCCACCGGAATATTCTTATCATGTGCATGAAATACCGGGCATTTATCATGATTAATAATCACCACCCGTGGCACCCAAGCTCTTTTCATTGGCTAATTAATATTAATGCGCATGACTGCACAACCTGTTTTTAATTTTTTTTTAATTGTTTATATGTTTTAACATGCAGAGGCCTCAGTTGCCAATGGCTGTAATTTATTACAATTGAGAGACTGATGCAGATAAATTGTACAGATCTGTATCAAGTTGGATCACTGAGAATTAAGGGATAGGATTTTAATCCCCCCATCACGATAAATGTATTGAGAAAAAAGTGGAAAAATATGCCAATTGACTAGTAGATACATTGAAAAGACTCGTCTCTCCGGGTGGACGATTAAAGATCAATTTTTTTTTCAATTAGAAAAAATAATTGAGATATTGAAAAACGCGTGCATGAACGAAAGTGTCAAAATTCTAATATTCTACTTTTTTCTATTTTACAGATTGAGTCAAAGTACAAAATTGCATCCTCGAGTATTAATAATCTCTATCGCAAAAACACAAAGGGGTAAGTTTAGTAGAGTGTCATCTTTACTCGCATGCACATTAGCCTGCGGCCATAGTGCATGACAATTAACGGTGACATTATATTGGACCTGGGGTACTCCTTTTTTTTCTATCACTTTCTTTTACCACCTTTTTCTCAACTCAATACTGTTTTTACTCGCCTGTATTTGGTTACTGTGGGCTGAAGCTTGGTTTGGAAAAGGGTTTTGTCGAGCTTTACAGCATCTTGAATATCATTCTCTCTTAACAGACCGTCTTGCCCTGTTACTGAGGATGAAAACTTCCTTTTCGCAAAATTGTGTTTCTATTGATAACTCGGGATTGGCTGAGTGAAATTCTCTCAGTGTTGAGATATTTTGAAGCTATTCATCACCCCTCACAACATCTTAAATATCATTTCATTCGGAACAGCCCGTCTTGCCCCATCTACTTTGTTTATGATCTTATTCTTGCGGACGAATTCTCGTTTTTGGGAAAATTGTTTCTATTGATAACTCGGAATTGACTGAGTGAAATTCAATAAGTTTTGAGATATTTTGGAACTATTCATCAACCCTCACAACATCTCCAATATCATTTTATTCGGAACAACCCGGCTTGTCCCATCTACTTTGTTTATGATCTTACTCTTGTGGATGAAATCTTGCTTTTGGAAAAATTGCGTTTTTATTGATAACTCGGAAATGGCTGAGTGAAACTGAATAAATTTAGAGGCAATTTAGAGGTGTTCATCAAGCCAAAGAATATCTTCAATATAATTTTATTCTGAACATCCCGTCTTGCCCCATTCACTCAGTTCGTAATCTCATTTTTTATATGAAAGCTTGTCTTTCGCAAAATTATCTCTTCCGCAATCGCTCAAAATTGGCTGAGGAAAATTGAATAAATCGTAAATATCATTTTATCCTGGACAGCCCATTTTACCCCGCCCACTTATTGGTCTCCCTCTAACGTCAACAGTCGCTGCTTCCACTGACAACTAATCCTTTCTAACTCATTTAAAATTAAACCTCTAACTCGCCATACATTCATTAAAATTATTCCAGCATTGACGATGTTGAGCCCCTTATCAACCTAAGAGATACTGAATTCATGAATATGTAGTGTCTTCTATAGAAACTTATAGTTATGTCAACAGCTCGAGGCTCAAAAATCATCAGAAAAACCCTGGCTTTTGTTTCAGAATTACAGCGAAAATTGATGACGACATGATACGCTATTACGTCGATGAGGATCTCTTTCTCCTCGAAGTGAGTCACTCACCGAATCAAGAGCACGCTAGGAATCCGAGTAATCCGGGATCACCGGGTGATCCTGACGATCCAAACGAGTCAACATCGATTGGATATGACGTGACACTCATCGAATTGCCACCGGTTCAGTCGCAATTGCCGCCACCCCCATCGCCTATATCAGTTAGTCATGGGAATCCCCATGCTCACGTTCACGGACACAATCCACACATCCACGAGGTGACGAATACGTGAATTTGGGGGAGTGAAATTACTGAGTTTATTTGTAAATAGAGGCCATCTGAACAGGTAGCAATTGACGATTGTTCGATGAGTACTTATGCAACGTAATTACGAAGTTTTGATGATAATGATGTTATGATTAACGTTTTTGTTCGTTGTTGAATGTATGTTATCTTCATAGTTGACTGTTGAGCATTCCTTTTCGATTTAAGGATATCCAGGTATCTTTTACAGTTTAGTACAGGTCATACTATCAATTCAGCCCTTTTCAATCGTCATATTTGTCAGTTAAATTGCGCGAGAAAAATTTTAAAAAAATCGAGAATATTCAGCGTCATTCAAATTACATTTTGCACAGAATTATTATTATTTTTTAAAAGTAGTCCTTTATAAATGAATGATTGAAATTGTTTAATGAAATCGATTTATGGTAAAATCCTGAAGATTAATAAATTTGTTAGGATTCCGAAGAAATGATTTTTATGGTGGAAAATTGATTGTTTGTAAATTATTTATAGAAAATGCTCGTTGTTTTAGAAAATTGCATTTTTTAAATTATTTCATCAATCTTCCTCCAAAAGCAAACTTTCATATTTTTTTTCACATTTATAAAGTGTTTTTTAATGGTTCAATACCGAAATTCAAATTCAGACCTGCAAAGTTTGAATGATAATTTAAGTGATGATATTTAAAGATTACTTGAACGATGATTTAAGTAATGATATTTAAATGATAATAAGATATTATAAAATGTCAAGAGCTTTGCGGTGAAATGGGGCTCGAATGAATGCTCTGATGTTCGACTACAAAAGCGGAAGCGCATTTCATTGATGAAAATATGGCCAAAGTACTTGGATATCCTTAATCATATCAATTATCGTGAGAAGTTTATGATGGAAAAATAATCATTGGGATTGATTGATGACACGTGATCCAGGGATTTGAGTGCCGTTTTAGGCATGCGATTCGTCACCGTTGAAAATGGTATTGAAGAATCGTGGAGGGAAAATTTTGAGGGAGAGACTGGGGCAATTGGCAGAGTGAAATTCAAAGATTTTTTCTTCAACTTTCAACATTTTCTCAAGCATCTAAATTAAATTGACGTCGATTTAGCCTCACCTTTCCCTTCTTCATATGGATTGATCAATCAAAATTGATTAAGCTTTATTTGCGTTGATATTTGAACAAAACCGTACACAATTTTTATATACGTAAAAGAAAAGTAATAACAAATTGAGAGCATGGAAAATCGCTTTTTCATGGTTTTAAGAGAATGTTTAATGTTTGTGCATGAGAGTAACAGTCTAATTAAGGTCAAATAGTTATGTTTTTTTTTATCAAGTAAAGTCGGTTTATAATTTTATGGACTCTTCTGTGGACAATTGCCATTGTGTTTGCCAACAATTGAATTATTTTAGAGCAACATTGCATTCAGCATAACAGCATCGTCTCTCGCCTGTGCATGTTCAGTAGTGAAAAGATATGATAAGGATCAACTGATAATCTAACTAATTGTAATACTTTGATTACATGAGCCAATCAGTTCTAAATACGATCAAGTGGTGAAACGAGATGGAATGATTTCCCTTGGAGGTTCAGTGTTGGGGGGGAATATCTGGAGATCTAATGGAGATAGTGAAATTTTTGTGAAGACCTTTTTTGTAGAGAATTTCAAGAGCTACAAAAAAGGTCGTAGTGAAAATTTCACTACCTCCATTAAATTCGGAGATATACCCTTCTGAACAAAAGTCTCTTCCAAGCGTTTTGGATTGTTTCATTTCGTTCTATCACTTGCATTACAAATTCTACAATTAATTATAATGGATAAAAAGCCATGGCATATGCCCGAATCTTGCCTTAGTGTCCCCCCCCCCCGCCCAGTGTCTCACCGTGCCACTCGTGTATGTGTTAGCCATTTATGTAGGTAAAGAAGAAAAAAATCAGGCAATAAGATCGTGACGTTGTGACCGTCGAGGTAATTACTTTTAAGCAGTTAGTCTACGCTAGATATTTTATATAGATTATATATGAATTATATATATGTATGTTTGTAATAAACACAACGACAAAGATTAAATCGATTTTGCGAGGTTGAAGAGGAAAAATTAATAAAAAATTGAGGAGGAGTGAGAGATGATTAAACAATACGCCTCTGTTATGAAAAATAATTGATACAAAAATTGTCAGCATTGCAGTATTTTCAGACAATTCTGTAGCGTTATCATTATTTTTTCAACATGACAAAAAAACAATGATGAGAATTTAAAAACTGGCCTCAACATGTTATTCGACTGTAATACGTACAACACGTACAATTGTTATTTCTGTTGTATTCTGTGAGGAATAGGAAAATATGCCTGCATGCTTGCGAAAATTGATGGAGCGTGAGAGTATGCGAGAGAACAACGAAAAAAAAAACAACTTTAGAATTTAAAAAAATTATAGAGTTACGATAACAGAAAACGAGTCAAAAATCACTTGATGGAGTTGATATGAAGTTTGTGAAAGAGATTAGTAATTTTAAAAATGGAGTAAAATAAAGATAAAGTACATGACAAATTGGGGAATTGAAAAAATATCGTTGATAGTTGATGAAATGTAGTTGACAACGGATCTCTTACGTACGCATTGCATTATCTCGATGTTGAAAAATATTTCAGAGTTGTTGAGGGAAGACTGCGACTGTTTGGAGATCTCAGCAAGATTGATATTGATTAATTACGCATTGATGAGATCGATCGATTAATCAATTGATTTTTGTACTTAATTGTCATCCCAGATCGACTCTGCTGTAGTTTTCAACATTGCCTCATTTAATTTCACAATAACAGTTAATCGCAGTGGGTTTATCATAACTTAACTAGTAGTATTTAGGCCCTCGCCATTTAAATGGAGCTGTTTTGTTTTTCATTAATTATTATTATCTAGTTTTGACGAGAGAAATCATCCATTTTCATTGTAACTGATCAATGCGTACCCCCAAGACAAGAAGACAAGAAATATTATAGTGTAAGGTATCACAAGAGAGTTATGAGAGAGATATTTGGGATAAATGAAAGTGAACAAAAGAGACAGTTGATAGCAAGATGAAATATGTTTTCTTTTTTGAATTTTTGTTTATCGCAACGTCTTGCCATCGTGAGATTGTGCCAGAGGTGATATTATATTATTACGATGTTCAATACCACAATAAAATACTATATTAGTACGTTTTATAAAAAAATTATTGAGTTTATTCATTTACCTTCCCATTCAATGAATTTTTGGGGTGAGTTTTTGTTGAATACCTTGGAATCTGAGAGAGATATCGAAATTTGTCTGATAACCTTATTCGTAGCTCTTGAAATTCTCCACAAAAAAGGTCCTCATAAAAATTGAGCCATCTCCTTCGCATACCGATATATTCAACAATCAGATTCAATTTCATCCCATGGGAAACCCTGAAAACGATGTAATTACTCCTGAATCGATCGGTCAAAGAATAACAATCAATCGAACGATCCGACTGAAGGTCAATACTCTCCATCCCACGATTCTCAGGACTCCAGGTCAGCAGGAGGAAAGTCTACCGCGGAATTTTCTCAATTTGCGTACGCGGAAAATAAGGATTCATTCATCTGTCCAGCAGCAACGCTTCGAGAATAGGGAACTTGCATGAAGCGCAATTCTTTCGAATTTCCTTATGCACACATTCCTCAAAGATATGGTTTAGACTGCTAAACGGCGAAAATTATGGCGGTATATTGCCTAGATGTCTCATGATAATTAATTTAAAAAATCTACCGCTTTCGAGGCCAATTTTTCAGTCATGGCGTCACGAAGACGGCCAGGCGACGCTCCATTGGTCAAAAAAGAAGAGAGTGGGGAGTTGTTGTCCTCCATTGGCCGACGCGCACCTCAAGATTGTGTTAGGTCAGCTCGAGCCATTCTGTGACTGGTCCAACACTCGACCGTTTGTGTGACGTCATTGGCGATTTCAAAGCGTTTGAAATCTTCAAATTTTAACAATTAATTATTAATTACCTAGGGGGCTACGTCCCCTGCTCGCTCCGCTCGCCCACCCCCATCACCCTTATTCTGACCTTTGTGGCCCTTAATCTGACCCTCGTGACCCTTATTTCGACCCTCGCAACGCTTATACTGAACCTTGTGGAACTATTCTGACTCTCATGACCCTCGTCGCCCGTATTCTGACGCTTATAACCATTATTTAGGCCCTCATGACCCTTATTTTGACCTTTGTGACCCGAAGTTGATTAGGATTTTTAGAATATAGAGAGATGAGCAATATTTCGAGCGTTTGTGAATGAAAAATGAATTATTCAGGTCCCAAACTTGACAAGTAAAGAGAAAATTGAAAAAAATTCGTACAAATTCCCTATCAGCGGACGCGTGTGCGCTCGAGGTCAAAGGGTTCAGTGGAAGCTCCCTCCTCGAGTTCATAAACATAATGAAATCCAAGATTCGAGGAGGAGGATTCGCATAGACAAATTGACCCCATTGGGTTCGAGAAATGAAGTCAATCACGGAAAATGCGATTTCTAATGTCTCATATCGACTTTCAATAATAGAGAAAGTGATTAGTGTCCCAGAAATTGAACCTCATATCGATCATGTTTAGCTCGTGAGCCATGTATTGTCCCATGTTACGGGATTTCAACTAACCGATGCAGAGTGCGTACGAACCTGGGACAATAGCCAAAGCGAAATACCAGAAATTCACGAGTGGAAGGAAGACGGGAGACGAAATGAAAACGTTAAAGACGAAGAGGTGAAGGTGATGTTTGCGGGTGGATTGAGTGAATATCTCGGGGTTGGCGACCTTGACGCGGCCACTGGCCCTGCTGCATTGCGAGTGAAAAACTCTGGATTTTGAGGATCAACAACCCCTTGGAGAGGAATACACGAATAAATGTTCGAGAAAATTGAATTGAAGAAAAATCGAAACATTGAGGGAAATGAAACTATTTGAAAATTTTCGATCTACACGGAGAGAAATTTTCGATAAAAATTATTCTACTGTTCTATAAAAGTGTATCATGAGTCATCGTTTCCTCATTTCTATCCCGAAATTTACTAAAAATTAATATGTAATGCTCAAATGTTATTCTACGTTAGAGAAATTTTATCCTGACGCATAATAAATTTTACCCTTTCACTCCAATAATTTTTATGTAGATAACAACGAAAACAACGGCACGGTAATTTTCAGTTTTATCAGGATAAAATTTCTCTAACGTAAAATAACATTTGAGCATCACATATTAATTTTTAGTAAATTTCGGGATAGAAATGAGGAAACGGTGACTCATGATGAACTTTTGTAGAACGGTAGGATAATTTTCT